ATATTTTGATTGGATATTATAAACGTTTGACCGAAATCCTTGATTATCGCAAAAGTGGTGACCGAAACCTTTTTCCGAATTCTAAGCAAAGTTGTTCAGCGGATAAAAATACTATAGGTCTATTATTAGCGAATTGATGAGTTGAATCGATATTTGGTGTGAAATTTCCTATTTCGGAAAAGTTAAACTTTTAGGTTTAACAATGTGTTAGAAGCTGGTTAATTAACCATGAAGGTAATAAATTTTTTGTAACCAGGTGGATTTGAACCCTAGACCTTCCTCTGGTAACCTATGGAGCATTACCACTATGTTATAAACCCATATATTAATATAAATAAATACTTTTAATATTTTAAATTTATTATTGTTTATAAACCTATATAATAATTATTATTTATTTTTTATTGTAGTAATAATTAAAAAATAATATAACATTCTATCAATTAAACTAATCAGGCTTATATTTTAAATTTTAATATATTATTATTTATATTTCCTAAAAATATATTTATTATTTTATATTTTTTTCAATAAATAAATATAAAACCAAATATAATATTTAATATTTTTAATTTTAAAAAATATATTATATTTTTAAAAAATTAAAAAATTAAAAGTATTAATTTCTTTGTATTTAATTTGATAAATATTTATTAAAAAAATATAAAAATTATATATATATATATATATATAGTATATTTAAAATATAATAAATAGCATTAAAATTTTAAATAAAATTATTATATATATCAATTTTTGTATAATAATAAATTTATACTTTTGTTCATATAGTATATATATTTGTCAACCTATTTTTTTTTTTGTTAAATAATATTATAAATAACATTATATCAAATAAATGATTTTAAAACCAATATTGTATTTAAATTGTTTTTTAATTAATTAATTAAAAAATTTTTTTGTTCTAATATATTATATATTTTGTTTATTAATGATATAATGATATCATAAAAATTTCAATAATCAAAATTATAAAAAAATCATTATCAGATTTTGTTATTTGAAAATTCAAATTTATATATATTTTGATATGAAAAAAATATAATTAAATAAAACATATATAAATTAAATCATATAAAAAGAAATCAATTTTAATAACAATATAATTTCCAACTTATTATCACTTGTCAAATAACAAATGACCAATTTTTTTTTCATAACAACTCAACTCTTGCAATAATAATTTAAATACAGACTTATTAAAAATAACAATACAAATGTGATCTTGTTGCTATTCAAATACTAATAAAAATGCAAACCAATTATCATTAAGTGGAATAACCTAACCGAAGGATATAATTTAGATTGAGTATAATATAATTTCAGTATATTATATCCACTAATGATAAATAAATAAATCAACGTATAAAAAATATTTTATATATTTGCATTTAATTAAATACATTATATTTAGTTACATTAATTATTTATTATGTTTTTTAACATAAGATAAAGCTTATAATTCATTTTTTATTTATTTATTATATACAATGATTTTTGAAAAATTATAATAATTACGAGAATTCTAAATGGTTGAATTTTATATTAATTCGCCTTTGTTAAGAATATTTTTTTACACAAATATAATCATGGTATTAAAACACATATGATTATCGTTCGACTTACAGTATTTCTCATTGTGCACACTTTTTTTGTTACTTGCTTACTTTATAAAAGATCAATCATGTCAAAGACTCTAATCTGTCAGGCGATATTACTTATCAGTAAATATTATACAAATTAGGTGATCGTGATAATTTCTATTTTAAAGAAAGCCTCCATGTTTAGAAAGCTACTTTTTTGCTATTTTTGTTTTAGTAATCGTACTAAAGAACTGATCCAGATCGTTCAACTCAATCTTAGTATTAATCGATTTAGGTGTATCATCACGATTATCATTATCTTGTTGATACATGTCAACTCGTTTACGTTGTCTATCAATATTCCGCATTCCCCAATCCCTCGGTAAAATCGGAGCTTGACCTCCATATCTTAATAGATCTTGAAGCGCAGAGCTAGGTTTGTATCCAAAGTTTTCCATTTCTTCCAGTGCTATCTTAGCTCTCGCATCATCGTGTTGGATACATTTTCGAATGATGCGTTCATAAATGGTGGGGGTTGGCAACATGTTCTGTGCTTTCATCTCCTCAAGATAAACGAATGCATCTTCGTAGTCGTCGTTAAGTTGTGAACAACACAAAAATACCATGCGACGATATGATTCTATTGTAGGTCTTATTCCCTTATTTTTCATTTCCTTCCAAAATTGCTCGCCCAGTTCTCGGTGTTGTGCAGCAACACAGACATTAAGTAACGCATTGAATGTATGAACGTCCGGTGTAACGCCTAGTTTTTCAGCAGCTTTATATGTCTCCACCGCCCGATGAACATCAGGGTTAGATATAAACTTTCCGGCGTCAGCCGTGTTATTTTTTTCCAAGTCATCAGCATTGACTCTTTTACGAACGTCTCGACAAGCAATAATAATAGAATTCAATGCCACTATATCAATTTTTTTTCCTTCATTATGAAGTTCCTCTAAAGCGTAATATGCTTTGTCAATAAGTTCGACGTCATTCTGGATAGCATCGACAATTGGAGCAGCTGTTCTGATGTTAACATCAATTTGAGTCGAACGCATTATCGATAACATATCCATGGCTTGTTTGAAATCATTGTCTCCGATGAAGGCTTCCAAAAGTGGTTCAAGATGGTGGGATTCTAACGACACGTTTCGATTTTCTGTTAGGTAAACGATTACCTGTGCAGCAAGTTGCGGTTTACCAAACTTCGCGGCAACGTGGAGAATATCAATACAAGCACCCTCGTCAAGTGCTGAATAATTTTTTTCTAGAATTTTCTTCCAGCAAAAGAGAACACCATCTAGCTGTATCACAAAAGGTTTATATATATATATATATATATATTGAAAAAGATCCTTGTATGAAAAAAATGATAATGGAGATCCACTTACATTATAATCATCCGCGCAACTCCTCAATACATCATAATACATATTTACATAAATCGGTAACTTGTCATCTTCTGCCATCTTCAACAGTTCGAACGCATCACCGACCGCTCCATACGAGATAGCCGAATGAATTACATTCCCATACATTCTAACAAGTGGTTGAATATTTTTACTTTTTAAGGTTTCCAAATATTCAACACTACGTTCAAGTTCTCCATTAGATAACAAAGCATCTAAATAACATTCATGCGTATAAATATTCGGTTGTAAGTTCCAGTCCTTTTGGATCATATCAAAAATAAGTTCGCGATAATATGCGTCCTGAGAAACACGTGGTGCACTCGCACATGTCTTTAGATAAATAGATTTCATGTAGAGGGTAAATGATAAAATTTGATGAGGCAATCATTCACAACGAAGTGTATGCGATTGAAGTAGATTTAGTTACCCTCAATAAAATATGATATGTCGTTAAATCAGGAGTTACACCAGCTAAAGCCATGTCATCAAGCAATTTCAAAGATTCCGGTACGCTTCCAAGCGGTTCGTAAGCCGATAATAGTATATTATATGTTAATAAATCTGGCTTTACGTTTGCCCTTTGCATTTCTTCACAAATATTTCTTATTGAAAGATATCTCGAGGTACGCCTACAAGCGTCCAATTTGCGATTGTACGCTGCAAGCGGATTATCCAACTGTTTAGCATCTACTGCTGCTATATTTGGTTGTATAGCTGGTTCTGACGAGGGTGTTCCAATAGGTATTTCAACCGGGGCATTTACAATATTCTGGGAAGCGACGTCAATAGACCTGAACCTTTGCGTGGCTATATAAATAAAAATTCTTATAAAGAAAGAACCAAAATTTTACATAACCATTGAATGAATGCACTTGCCGTGAAACAGACGCGCTGGGCATCTTTTGCTCAAACCTTGCGAGAGAAAAGTTGGTGTCGCATAATGATTAGAAGTGAGTAATGGTTTGAGGGTACGTAAGGATCGACCGAGCATTACGTTTCTTTTAAGTTAAAGTTGTTGATACGTGTATGTGATCGAAAAATCCGATCGGCGATAATCAAAAAATTTTTTTATTTCGTATTACATATATCATATGACATTAAAAATATGACTTGCGTGAACCGTGACGTCCAAATCTTGGTTGTTAAATGATGTCTACATCGCTGATACGGAATAAAATTCTTGTACTAGGACGTCGAAATGTAGGGAAATTATCAATCATTAAACGTAAATACACAATTATTTTATTCAAGCAAAAAAAAAATTTTTTTTTTTCTTTTGGATTATGGCCTTCAATACCTCAAATTTGGCACAACCTTTATACAGAAATTCTGTCAAGTTCAAACCAAAGGATTGATGAAATAATTCTCGATCAAAACAATGAAAATGGCGAAACCTCAGATAACGCAAATCATGCCGGAATGAAGATACCATGGAAAATAATAACAAAGTATTACACAGCGAATGTTGAGTTTTGGGTTGATGAAACAGTTCACAAAAGTCAATTGGATTCAGAGGTAATAGATGGATACGAAAATGAGGAAAATGGCATTGGAAAAGTCGTAGATGCAATATTATTTATATTTAAGAAAAACGAGGTATGCGTGTATTGTGTTTCGAAATTCTTTATGATTGGTGCTAAACCATGTTTATATAATAGCCGTCAACGTTTGATGACATCCAAGCCTACTTACCATTTATACAAAAATACGAACCATCCATCACTCTTGCGGTAGGCACTGGAAGAAATATTCAACATGATACAATCGATGCAGAGAACGATCCATTTGAGGATTGGTGTATAGAAAATGGGTTTGAATACGTAGATTTGGACATGAAGAAAAGAGATGATGAAAGTACGCGTTACAATTCAACCATTTTTCATGACACTAGATCGAATAGAAGTATTAACAATCTTTAACAGTCGCAGAACGTGTTGGAATAGAGCGAATTTTGGAAGCGTTGCAATCTCACATGTGGGAAGATATGACCCGCTTATCAAAAACCAATAAGACTAGTGATCATATAGAAGATACCAATAACAAAGAACTTTCCGAAGGTTTTTTAATGAACATTCGTCATGAAGCGATGTGTCGTTATGATTTATGAACATTAATTTGCATTAAAAATAGCAATTTCCCAATTAAATCATAAAGAAAATAACTCTCATCTGGAATCTGCACCTGAATTTGATGATCATAATTCGGCACCTTTTGATGACAATGATACAGAATTCTTTGGCGATGGTGTGATGATTAATTAATTTGGATATTTGCACATTATTTGCAAATAAATTCAAATAACATCATTCTCTTTAGCGCTGCCCTCTCAGCAAGAAATAGAATCTATGCATCAACACATCTTTGGAGATTTTGATGACGAAGATGGGTTTGACAAAGTTCTTGCTCGATTAAATAGTTTGCGAGGTAGCACAAATTTATATTATTTTTCTCGATCAAATGAAATTGTTCAAGTTCATTAAAATGTTGTTTTCCCATACAGAACGCGGTAAAACCCTTTCAGATGATGAGAGAAGAAAATTAGCAGCAAGAGTTGCATGTTCCTTCAACTTGCATATGAACAATGAATAAGGTAAGATATTCATGTTTTAAATAAATCGAGTTGACCGTAAATATTGCCTTTGTATTTTCTTATTTTCCTTCAAACATATTATTTAATAAGCTTGGTAAATTACAATAATTTTAAAATATTATAATTTATATTTAATTACTGTATTATTACAATTGGTGGATCATTCTCGAGAAAAAAAGTAAATAAAAATTTTGATTGGTTGATAAATGATTTATTATTGGAAAAAGTGATGATTCGGATTTTTTTTATCTTTTCATGAATTAAATTTGTAGATTCCGAGTCGGTAAACGTAAAGGCAGGTGAGCGTGAACCAGAAATGAGCTTGTTAGAATGTAAGTAAAGTGACTGGTCTGATATTTTAACTTATGGAAACATACTTTTGACTTCTCTGATAACTTTCACATTAAACCTCGATAACCTAAGCGTTATACACTTGTGGTTAAGACTTGTAAAGTTGGGGCATCCGTATGTTGAAGGTCATAGAATAGGAAACAATTTTTTTGAATTAAAAATATTTTATTCAGTATTAATATACATATGATGAACTTTTTATTAATGAAAATATAATGATCACTTATTGTAATTCTTTCTATATAACCACAAATTAAGAATGTAAACACTTCTTTTCGATGACTCGAACGGAAAGCTTGCGTTAGGGGAAAACATACGGACTGTGATTCTCTCACAGTTTATTAAAAAACCCTTGGGAAGGTCTGAGAAAAACCAAATTGTCTCTTGCGGGGACGCTCATGAAAGTGAGTAGTGAACAACCAGAAACGTCATCTTCCTGATTCCTAAATATGAGGTCTTCGGACTGATTGATATGGGGTCATGGATTATTTAAACGTGGTTCACTGGTGGTAGCTCTATGAAGTGCAATACGCAAGACATTACACCGTAATGCAACTCAATTCAGACTACTCTTCCGTTCGAGTCACCTTATTTTTCGATATTTGCTTACATTTAAAACCGATTTAACAATAATTCAAATTAAAATTACCTATCCGTTATGTTAATTTAAATTTTTGAATTCTTTATCTATTTTTTAATAGTATTTTTAATAAAAAAAAAGTAATTCATTTCTTATTTATTAATAATTTATCTAGATAATCGTAATCATAATAATAAACGAATTTATTTTAAAATTGAGTCAAAAAAGATTACAACTTTACACCTAAATTAATTAAATCAATCAAATTTTCAGCGTGTTAAAAATCTTTGAACGCGTTCTTTTTTGGTTATAATTCAATAAATAATTATAGTATTGGATTTTAAAAAAACTTTGAATATACTGTATGTTTTTTTTATAATACAGTCAACTCTCTTTAATTCGTCCCTCTTTAATTCGAACTTTTGATAATCCGGACACTCATTTTTTTCATTATTATTTTTTTTCATAATTATAAAATCTTGATAATTCGTCTATCTATATAAACTTATGTTAATTCGGACAATAGCTTTGAAAAGTTAGTGTCCGAATTAAAGGCAGTTGACTGTACTTAAATTACATTAGTACAGTTGCAATATATAACGACTGCAATAAAAGTAAATTGGTAATATTAATGTTCGGTGATCGGTTATTAACGTTATATTTGAAATATAATTTGCGATGTTTATGCAATTTCTCGTGATGAAATGGTTTAATTACACGAACACTGATCAATACATGTAAATTCATCAATGATTAATATACAATTAGTGCAGCTTTTCTTTGTTTACAAAAATTGAAGGAAAAAACTTTTTTTTTTGTTTTTAACTGCTTCAAATAATAGTACTTTCCTTGTTATCTGCTCCTATGAACATTCTGTCTCTTAATTCTTTAATATTCTCTATATGATACATTCGGATTATAGATTTTAAAAAAATATTATTATTTTTTTTTTTTTGTAACCAGGAGAATAAAGAATGCGACAACTTTTTTTTTTCATTAATGTTTTTCATCGCCTTGGTTCAGATTATGGACATATTTTTTCCTTAAATTTTAAGCTGTGATGCATCAAGTCCCAATGCGTTTAAAAATAAATTCACGTTTGCTATTTTGTGAGATGCTTTATCTGCCGACATCCTTGAGGCTTGCACCACGGTATCGAGCACTCGTTCTCTGTGTTTTCAATGAAGAGGATTGGTGAATAAAAGCAAATGTATCGGTTTGCACAGATAATTAATAAAAAGGTAAATTTCTTCAAGAATTTACCTAACTTCCGTAACCAGTATATGCTGTTGCTCCGTAGAAGCGCCCACTGCCATTGCCGCAAGGAATTGCCATACATACATATCGTCAATCCCAACGAGAAACGGCGGAAATAATGATAGAAAATGATTTTGTAGGGTGCAAAATAAATGATTATATAATTCTTGCCTTAAATTAATTGAAAGGTATTAGAGATTTTTCTTGATGGTAATTCGACAAGGGAAGATGATCATTTACCATTGAATCAACTCTCGTTCTTCTGGCTGTGGTAAACCTTGGATAGAGCCACCACCTTGTTTTAAAATTTCGGCTCGACTCAAAAACATAGTTAAAAAAGCAAGACCAACCTATTACATGAGGCAAGCGTCAATCATCCAAAAGGGGACGCATAGAGCTACGCAGAAACACGAGAAGAAATTCTCAATACCTTGCTTCTCGCCACCCAAACAATATTATTCCTTTCCACAAACAATCCGAATAATCTGGTAACAATTCTCAATTGTGCTTCTGCCACGAACTGCAGTAACGGAGGGACAACCGTATTCATAAATAATTCTACTTCTTCCAACATTATTGGACCCACGCCTCCTTGTGGACCCCAGATAGCACCTTTACACACATCCAGTGATTCAAAATTTGCAACCAACATCGTAATCAGAAGAAGTATTTGTTCTGCATTACAGTGACGCATGACGCGTGGGATAACTTTTTTTCCCTTGGAAATGGACAATATACTAATAAGGGGATGCGGGTAACTTTACATCGAAAAAGCGTATAATTTGTTAGGATCATATATATCGAGGTTATTTCTATTTTCCACGGAGTTGCATCAATATTAAACCTTAATTGATTACCTGACACCGATTGCCTCTGTCACTCGAAGTTCTTCCCACATTGTTTTAGCAAGTTCAGCATATTCTTCCTTCCTAAACGAACAAAATGTTTGAATCATCGGCAATAATCAAAATTTCTGTGCCAGAAGTGTAGCAATATGCAAACCATTTTTCATAAGACTCCCTTTCATAATCTGTGTATATTCTTTGGGGTTGGTTTCGTTTTAACTCTTCCAAAGAGAGCACAGCGGTGTAAACATTTTCGATGGATCGCAACACCTTCCGATGATCCGTAATGCCGTGTGATGAAATTGACGGAACCTTTTGGTGATGGTGGTGAACGCTGCCATTATTACTCGACCCCGAATGATTATGGTTGTCATTGTTTTTAGATGAAACTTGCAGCAATTGCCTGGGATTGCGAACAGAGTTAAGAGCTATTTTTCCCAATGCGCCTTCAAGTGATACTAATGAAGAAAAACCTCGAAAATTAGTAATTACTTGAGTATTGTTCAATACTAACACAGTGTCACTTACATTGTGTCATCTTGGGTTTTCTCCTTGCATCATTTACTATCCTCAGCACCTGTTGCTGCATTTTCTGCAAGCCACTCTCTGACCCCCTGCTTCGGTGTCGACCTCGCTCATGTCCCATGAAGCCAGTTCCTCCGGCTTGTGGCGAAAAAGCAGACATCTGAGGCTGTGACTGACGGGTTCGAATGGCGGTGTATACTTGGTAATAAAAATCGTCAGCATAAGGATCGTCAGTTACTAATTGTGAAATTTGGATGCGGTTGATGTAATCCTTATCACTTTGTGTCATGAGACCATTGTATCGGGACTGTAAGTTTAAAATGATTAACCTAATATTAATAATAGGTTAACTTTTTTTTTTTCTTTTCTTTTTTCTTGTAATTGAAAATTAATAGTAACCATTTCAGAAAGCTTTCTTTGTTTATCCCGTCGTTTCCTCTCCCTTTCGATCAAAGCTTCCTGTTCTCGTAAGGCAGCCTCTTTTTCCAAGTAGGAAACGTTTTTCTGTTCCCTAAAGATCGCTTCGGTTGCGGGATACATGGGATGTGGCTGTCGTCCATTAATACCTAACAGAGCTGCCTCAACTTCTGCCAAGCTCAGCATCCTCTTCTCTGGTATTCCAGCCTGTCTGTGTAATTGAGCTTCGATTTGTTCAAGCGACATTGGCGTACGAGCTGTGGAATGCGATGGCGGACCAAAACCTGGCGGTGGTGAAGTCGGAGGTGGTGGTGGCGTGTATCTTTGAGAGTTTTCGAAGGAACCTGAGATACTGGGTATTTCTTGGGCGAGGGCATCTGAAGTGACAACGAGTAAGAAATCGATATAGTTATAAAATAGGTGAGTGCAAAAGACTCAAACATACCTTTACGATTCGATGGATGGAATCCCCATATTGATGGGCTTATTGGAGGCTATAAATCGAGATGATTTAATTTCATGAGGGTCAATGAAAAGAGCTTTCGAGAAAATCGAACATTTTAATAGTAACCTCAGGCAAAGGCGGAACTCCTGGTGCTATGTCATTCGCTTGATTACCTTTCCCGTTGGCTATAGCATCTGAATTATTACTCCACAACGCCGCATACGGCATTCGATTGTTATTTTCTGGATTACAGGTTGAACCAATTTTACCATAATTTCAGAGATGAGTCTCGGTTTTTCAAACACGAAATCAGTTTGAGAATAATCCTACCGTTTTCCGACGTGGAACTTTCCCTCCGCCCGATATAAATTTCTTCCTCTTTTTGTATTGTGTCCGCTATCTTCGTGGTGCTTTCTATGAAATCAAAGTCCTTGCCTATGATTAATGACGCGAATTTTCAATGTTCACGTTTAATTAGAAAAAAGGGTTCGTTTTAGGAAGGTTTTGATAAAGAAAAATAACAAGACACACCAACATCAACCGAAACTCCAAACGTCTCATCGTTCAGGTCGTCCCCCGATTCTTCCAACTGATTCCCAAGATCAAAATTTCGCTCATAATCAAAAACTTCAAAGTTCTCCCCTGAATCAAGAGTGAAGGCCTTAATTTTTCTTTCCAACTCTTCGTCCTCTGTTTCGTCTTGTTGCCCATTAACGTTATGATTACCGCTTAGGCCAGCAAACTGGTCTGGATTTAAGGGGGGCAACGTCGTATCGAAGCCGAAGAAAGAGCCCGACATTATCTGTCCTTTAGCTTCGCTTACCCTCAATCGGAGTGTTACCAAAAATATATGTCAAAAGTAAAATAAATATTTTTATATAAAGGCGAAGATACCATTTATAGAAAGTGTCAAGGAAGTTCTGGCACGTAATGTAAAAGCACGGGGCACCCGGCGATTTTGACAAAAATTTGATGAACACGAATTTTAATTGGCTGTTATTCTTTCACTTACTACGTACCTGCGTATCGTACTTGCGTGCTTCGTTCGCTTTCGAACTTCGTTCCACAATACAATGCCCCCAACAAGATCTGGACGTGAATATGCACCCTCAGTCCAATCAAGTAATCTCGAGGTGGAATGGTCTCAAAAGTCGAAATCGCAAGGAACACGGTATCCTAGGTGGCTAGAAAAACAACTGCCATATACATCACTTCTTAGATTGAAAACAGACGCATTTGCTTCATAACTTGAAATCACGTATTTATTGTTTTGCAGGATTAAAAAAAGTACCCATCTTTTTGTTTTAGAAAGGATCCGTACTCAAAGCTCGAAAGTGAACTACGAAGGGAGAAGGATCATTTGATGCTCATTTTGGAACACATCGATAACCAAAAGTTGAAGCTGAAAACCGAAGAAACTGTCTTACTTGCGATGCTTAATATCCACGATCCAACAACATCAATACCTATGTCAACTAATGGTTTTAATACGGAAGTCGAGGTATCTCCATTTTCATTTAGAAAATTATCTTTAGATGCGAACATATTAATCGAAAATCCGTATTCTACCGTGAAATTAAGGGTGGAGGAACTCTCATAGTTAAAGATGTTGATGGTAGCTTTAAGTCGGCACTTGCGAACTCACCAAGTATTCCTTGTTTAAGTCCTGTTTCGCGCCAAAGTCAGACTGAATTAATGGACAACACATCACAAGAATTAAATGGCTTGTCCTCACCGGTTATAACTACATTTCGTTCCTCCGATATATGTGAAGGATCTGTGGTAGATGCGGATGACGAACCTTATGCAGCAGATGCTCGATCGGATGTTTTAGTTACCACCAACTCGACGGATATGGAAATTGCCAATGCATTGTCCATCCTGGAAAATATGTCAGATTGTGAAGATGTAGATGTAGATGAAATGGCTAACGAAAGGGAGTCATCTCCTGTCGATGAGTTCCAGAGAGATGGAGAGATCACGTATAACACGGGTAAGTTTGATCATATGAAAAATGTTCTTTCTGCCTGTCTAACACTGAATTAAAACTGTTAGATGACGATGGTGGTGACATTGATGACGATGATGATGATGACCTGGCTAGGGAAGCATTGTCAAAGATGTTGGCAGATTATTCATGATGGAACTTTTCAGGAATCTTAATGACGAATGGATCCCCTGACATCAATCACTTTTCATCAGAAAACCCTTTTTCTCAATTATCTTTTAATTAATTAAAGATTTCTCACTCATTATCATTTTTAAAATTTATTTTTCTCTGATCAAGAATTATTATGTATATTCAGAGTTCTTGCAATTATAATGTGATACATGAATATGCCGTCAACCCTATTATACGTGACTGATGTACATTAAAAAAATCTGAAAGTTGGACAGTTTCTCAGACAGACTTATACAATTTGCGACGCTTGATAATTAATGAAAACTTTAAAGTCTCAAATGAAATAGATTAATTCCGATGACAAGTCTTCTGTATTTTCCCAATTTTGACGCTACCCCGAGACTTCGTAAATCGCTGCCCGACAGACAGAAAAAAAAAAAAAACTAGATCCAACATTTCGTGTGGTACATACTAGAAATATAGCGATTTTAAACCTGCCTCTAAGTCCAAGAAATTGCGGATCATTGAAAGTACACCGGGCGATTCGTTACGAACTTAGTCAGTCTTGTTCGCTCTGGATATGTTAATGATTCTTCTATGCGAAGTCATAAAAATTCAATGACCGTTGGTGGCTGGCAGGTCACTGTTATTCATTTGAACGCACTTTTTATATGCGTCCGTCTGCTCAGGAAACGTCTCTTGAAGTTGTTCGAGAAGCATGCCCTTGAAATCCTAATAAAGTAAATCGTCAACTAATGAACGAGCTTGCATGTATTCCGAAGAAATTAAAAATAATCGTAATATTTACTATTATGGCCTCATTTTTAACATTGACTACGTTATTTTCTGTCATCACTTCTTCAACATATTCGGACATGAATATGTCAGGATTGCGACCTTCATCAATATAACTAATAAATATAATGGAGGGGAATTAAATATCTAGAATCACCAGAAATATCTTCACTGAGAAATCTGACTTACTCTATCACCGTCATTGGAACCTTTATGTGTTTGATCTTTTCTTGAAGTCGATTAATATCATCCAAGCATCCCGTAAGATCTTGCCTGTAATTTTTTCAAACGAATATGCAAAATTTATTTAACCTTTGCAAGCGTGTCGGAAAACTATAATCGCACGTCCACTTACAAAGAATTTAAAATAGCCCATTTGTTTTCAGAACTATATTCATTGAGTTGTACCATTATTTCCCATATTTTATTTAGTAAGTTGTCTATTATTTCTTCGAGTTGAGCTCTTGGATCGGTGTGCCCATTTTGTGCGGTGGCCATCATCATGGGTCCCATGAATTAATCAAACTAAAACCGGCGAGGTATAACCCTTTAATCAAGGACAGAAGGTAAGTTTTTGTTGACAGTTCGGTTCTTGAAAGGCTAACAACAAACACCAAACCTCGATTGACGTATTTTGATTACAAATGTAAATCTTTCCTAATCTAGATTACATATCAGAAAACAAAAGTCAGTTTAAGTACTTGCGTATGTTCGGATCAAGCTCACGAGAACACTCCACCTTCAACAAGATCTTCACAAATGTCACAGGCGTAAGTACTGAAGGAGATTTTTTTTTTTTTTGACCTATTAAAGGATTTGACAGGTTTATTCTTTCCTAAGTTTCAGCTTTAATCTGACGAACCAAACAACTGGTATTACCAACACATTCAATACTTTCGGTAATAATCCAACAACAAATGCTGCTGGAGGGTTTTCACTTCAAAGCAATCAAGGGATCACTTCATCTAGCAACTTGGGTGGGTTAAAACCTCCGACTTCTGGAGGTTTTGGACCGGGAAGCAGTTTTAATTTTGGGAGCCAAGTAGCGGCTAGTCGTAGCCAAGGGCTAGCTCCACCGGTAGGAAACATGGGAGCGAAAACCAATTTATCCTGGAACGTAACAAGTAGCGCTTCCTCGCAACCATTTTTTAGCCTTGGAGGCTCAAGTACGCAAACTAGCTTGACCTCTTTCTCCACAACGACGGCTCAAGGATTAGGGACATCAATGTAATGCAGCTCTATATTTGAATTCTTATTTTTATAGTTATCTCTTACCACAATTATTGTACTTTTTAGTGGACAATTTAACATCATTAATGTTACGAAAGCGACTAGGTTCACCGATATTCCTCAAGATTATCAGAAATACCTTACAAATTTGGAGTATGTTGAATATTATCGTGCTCTATATAATTAACTTTTATTTATAAAAAAAATTATTCTTTTCTCTTTTCTTTTTTTTTTGAAAAAAAAAAGTAATCACATACAACAACAAAAGCGAATGATGACATCAATTGGTTCAATGAATCTACCAAACATCAAACAACAAATACAAGATGTCTTCAATGAATCACGAATATTGTTTCAGGTACCGACTCATTCCCGTAAGAAGTCAGTTGGCATTCTATTTATTGAATGTGACAATAATCGATGTCCGCCTGTAGGCTCGTCTAACCTGCTGAACATATACCGTACAGAAATTGGCCCACCTGACCAATGATCTGCAGAGCGGTCAATCTTATTTAGGAAAGCTGCTGTCAGAGTTGGATAAACACATTGGACTTGTGGATAACGCTCGTCGATTTTACGATGCGGCATCTCAAGGACAGAACAACGCCGTAATACAAATTGGTGATAACGTCTTCTCAAAGTAATTTATTTACTTGTTTCGTATCATTCTCTTGGGTTATTTTAATGTCTCTTCCTAACTTTTAAACATGTATTATTATTTGTAAAGATATTATTATGACCTTATTGTCTCGTTCGAAGATCGATTACAACAGTATGAGTCGATCATCGATGTGAGTTTGATATTTTAATTTACTACAATTGGTATTATTATTTTAAAGTAATATTATTAATATTTCTTATTTTTTTTATTTTAAAAAAAATTTTTTTTTCCACCTATAGGAATTGGAACGCCACTTTTATTGGATATATCAAAATCCTGAAAGAAGCAATGGTGACGAGCGATTAAGTTTACTTGTGTTAGTGATTCAAATTATTTCATTATGTGTAAGTTGTTAACCAAACGTTTTATAGATCAAGATCTTGCCGCACTCACTGAAGCTATGCGCAATCAACACAACAGCTTCATGGCGGTAACGGGGAAAGTTGCGTTGCTTCATGAAAATGTGGAAAAATTGCGCAATCAATACCTTAATTACAGACGTACCAAATTCCTTGATAACATTAACCCATTTGTAGGACAAGACGCTCAGAAAACGGACGGTTAGTGAAAATGGTTCATCAAATTATATAGAAAAGTCTGCTTGCTCATTTGATTTTGTTTCAACAGCTGTTCCCGTGTTGTCTATTGTCGAATCCATGTCACCAAGAGAACTGGCACAAACCATTTCAAGGAAGCCACCAACAAATCAATTTCAATCAAGTTTATTCGGCAAACGATAAATACAAAAGTTATCATTAGCCATAAGAACTTATCGTTCGAATTAAAAATAGATCAATTAATCGTGCAAGAACAAGGGATATGTTCACTCTATAAAATATTTGTTAGAAATTTGCATAAATGATGAATGATGTGAGAATGTAACTAGTCATTCCATTATATGTAGTGTAACGCAGGTAATTTGGATGCCATAGCATAGTAAAGTTGTCAAAATTGTTATTGCCTCCTTGTGTGAAAATATAATAAATTTGATGAGTTATGCGTTCGACTGTTTATTGAAAGTTCTTATGCGTATTGGTTGTTCGTAACTTAAATGGATCTGCCTATTTGACAATCGTTTAAAAAACAAATTTACGTATGGTTATTAGTGTGTAAGAGTTGATGTACAGTAGTTACCAACATCCTATCAAAATCATATATACAAAAAAAATTAAAATTTTTTATATTATGCAAAAGTTAATAATTTTTATTTTTTATTTTTATTTTATTTTTTTGAAAAGAACAAATGGCTATCATGCTTTATTATATTTATTATACTTTCACTTACAAGGTAAGGTACAATAATCAA